TGCCTACCCGCCATTTATAAAGTGTAGGCCGCATTCAGCTGATCCGCGAGTAGCTTTCCTAGACGGCCGAGGGCCATGGGAGAGCTCCGGTTCCCCGGGGCCCACAGGACCTTGCACCCCGACCGCCTGTGGATCTGGGAAAAGGCCGTGTATGTGGACGAGAACCGGCGCACGTGGCTGCCCGTAATCATGGAGGTACAGCCCGCCTTGGGGCCGACATGGGCGGGATGGCTTGGAAAGGTTCAGTCCAGTCTGCCCTGGGCGTCCTCACGGATGGAACTACTCTGAGCCGGGCTCTGAAGCATGAATAGGAGTTGCCCAGACCAGGAACAAAGGCATGTAGGGCAGAGGATGGGGCCCAGCGGCCCTGGAACATGTGACTGATCTTGACTAAAGTGGGACTTTTCCGAGCTTCAGAGCTCTAAAGCATAAAATGGGAGAAATACAACGGTAAGGGTAGCTATTCACCCTGTGTGACGGGTTGTCAGACTCTCCTTAGGTGGGCTGCAGAAATAACACTTAGAAAGGAACCCTGGACAGACTATCGACCTAGGGTGGGGTATGTCAAACCTCGAGGTCTCCATGCTTTGGAACAAGCCAGCTTAACAAGGGATGCAGTCTGTGAAAGCCAGTACTGAGCAGTCAGCTTGTGTGTAATGCCTTCAAGTAGATGCTAACTTTGGTCTTTAGAGAAACGTGACTCATGTAAGTACTTTCCATTAGAGTCTGAGGTGAAAATACCAACTCCCCATACACACAGAAGAAAGTATGAAGGTAAAATTAAAATAATACTACAACAGTTATGTAATATCACAGCAAACAGCAAAAGGGTATTGAATGGTAACTGTTTAACAGATGAAGAAACTGAGGCACAAAAATGCAAACTTGCCCGAGTTAGTACTTCCAGTAGGTAATGGTGTTGGAATTCCAGGCTCTTAACCATCATCTAGTCTTGTATTTTTATTGGTGTATATATATATATGTATACACACACGTACACACACACACACACACATACACACACACTTTTAATGTTTGAACTAAGGGACTAGCAGTTGGCGTAATGGCTATGTCGCTGAACTCCTAGGTAGTTTACTGCAGTTCGAATCTGGGACCTGGTGGCCTAAATTTACACTGGGCACATGTGCATGTGTGCCCAAGATCCCAATATAAGAATGGAGAAAGGATTGAAGTGTGGCCATTCCCCCTGGGGGGGGATTTCTGGCTTTCTGTCCCTCTGTCTCTTTCTCTGCCTTTCTGGGGAGCGTACATGCCCTATAGCAAAAACTCAAAAAAAAAAAAAGAAAGAAAGAAAGAAAGAAAGCTGAACTCAGTCAAGTATTTGAAGAAAATTTAGGTGAATATCTTTTTTAATATCTTGTTTAGGAATATCACTTTCAACATGATACAGAAACCATGAACCAGACAGAGTTTTTCCCATAATCATGATAAATGCCACACAAAAGATAATCTATACTCTAGCAGATCATTAGGTTTTCCCCACATTACCAGAAAGCAGAGTATTTTTAAATTTTTTTTCATAGGGTTTATGCACTCATTGGAGAGAAACAGAGAGAGACAGAGACAGAAAGTGAGAAATCACTCCCTCAGGGGGATGGCCACACAGCAAACCTTTCTCCTCCATTCTGCCCTAGGGACTTTGGGCAGACAAGCATATGTGCCTGGTGTGTTTTTCAAGCCATCAGGTCTAGGACTTGAACTGTGGAGTCAGCCACTGAGATCCAGCACCTGCCACCATGCCACCTGCTGACTCAGGAGGAGGAGTATTAATATGTAAAGGTTCATTTAAATCAACAAAAAGATAAATAATGCAAATTACAGATGGTTAAAGGATATGGAAAATGCATATTAACAGTAAGAATGCTGATTTCTACATGTATGCTACCTTGCCTACCTTGCAATATGTTCTAAATTCTTTCTTAACAACAAGTTCTCATTTATTTCATGGGGAGAAAACTTTAAAGAGCTCTTGCCACTTTGAAAAAATACTTGCTAAGCAAATGTGAGTGCCTAGATTATATGCCAAGGACTGTTCTCTGCTAAGGGCCGGGGCTGGGGCAAGGGCGTTTCCAGACCCTGTGGAAAAATCCCCACTGTTTTTGAAGCTGACATTCTGCAGGGGAGAGAGGGGCAACAGAATGGTGAAGCCGGCGGTCAGTTGCATAGGAAAACTAAACCAGGATGAGGGATGATAATGAGCAATGCGGGGATGCTCAGGGGAGATTCCCTGGGAGAGTCTTAATTTGTAGTTGCCTGTCACTCTTTTACCCATCATTTTATTTGTAACCGTTTGGAATCTCTTTCTTTGGGCCATGCCTCATATCTATTGTAGAATTGGATTTTGCTGATTTTTTTCCCTTGAATTGGTGAATGAAACCCATTTTCAGTTACTGCTGTAAGTGGTATGTTTAGTCGCCATTCTGCCCTGCTGCATTATGTCCCATTTGCCTTTACGGACATCCATTTGAGCAGAGACTTGACTAGAAGGGTGAGAGTCCTACGCTGATCTGGGGAGAATGTTCCAGACGTACAGGATAGGAGGAGCAAGGGATTCCTGGAAGGAGGCCTGAGGGTGGTGGGTCCCAGGCTGGAATAGCATGGGAGGCAAAGGAACAGAATGGTGGGAGATGAAGGGACAGGGGCCGCTTCAGGAGCCTTGTGGACTTTCGTGGCCGTGGTAACGATTTCACGTTGTTCCTGCTCATAATAAGAAGCCATCAGAGGTTATCGAACAAGGGTGTGCCTTGATTTTAGAGGCTCACCTGCCTGTTGGGGAGACCCGGTTGTGGGGAACGAGACCAATAAGGTGGCAAATTAGGCTATTAAAATAATCCGGGCAAGGGATGATGGTAGAGGCGCGGCTGCCAAGATGGGGAAGAATGGTCTGTCACCACGGTCTGGGGGTCCAGGGAGGCCTTCTTTAAAAAGAAATCTGGAGCCAGCTGGTGGCATGGTGGTTAAGGCAGCAGCTGGATCCCACATGGCCGAGACCAGCAACTTGAAAATCATGCTGGGCACGTTGTGTGAGAGCGTGCCCAAAATATGAAGGAGAAACAGAAGGGATTGCAGCACGGCCATTTCCCATGGGGAGTGCTTTCTCACTTTGCCCTTCTCTCGCTCTCTCTCTCTCTCTCTCTCGCCTATTCCCTCTAGCAAATTAAAAAAAGAAAAAACATGACCAAAAAAAAATTAAAGAAAATTCCATGACAGCTGAACCAGGCACCAAACTGCGTAGTTAGGGTACTTGAGGGCCCCGTGGCATTCTCCCTGTCTGAGCGACTGGACACATGCAGAGCTGGTTGCCTGGCCCAGCCTGAGTCCCTAAGAGTAGCATGCACAGCTCGGGGAGCTGAGCTCCAGGGTGGGCGACAAGAGGGCTCTGGCAATATGCACTGGGGGGCCCTCGCCAGCCAGAACCTGAGGGTGCCCTGGGCTTGTCTCCTGTCCAGACAGAGAGCAGCCTCCAAGTGCTCCTGCGTCAGGAGGACGTCCCCCTGGGGGAAGCCACGTGTCCCAGCCAGCTGGGCCCCTGCCTGCTGCCTCCAGCGTGGCAGCTCTACCCCGGAAGGCGGTACCGAGGCTCGGACTCCAGAATCTGGCACATAGTGTACCACATCCAGGCAAGTGTGCTTCTCCCAGGGCCCACTGGGGCCTAGGGTGGCCCTGCTCCTCCTCCCCCACGGCTGGCCTCTGTGGAGTATCTGCTCCTCTCATCCCAGCCACAAAAGCTAAGAAAAAAGGGGACTTCCAGCTCCAGGTGTCCACAGACCTGGGTTAGAGGGGGGTCAGGCCAAGGGTGTGGCTGTCCTCTGAGGTCTCTGGGAGCCCCTGGCAGCTGGCCACACCCTCTGCTGGAGGCTGGTGGGAGCAGGGCAGGTCCGGTCCTGGAATCCTGCACAGGGTCTCCTGCTGCCCCAGGTTGGTGGGGCCCTGGGGTGAAGAGCAGGACTGGGTCTCTAATGGCTGCCTCTCCCCCCCTCCCACACCTCTCCCTAGTTCGGTGGCACAGAGGACATGCTCCTTGAGCGGCTGCCAGGCCCGGAGCAGGAGTGACCGGGTGAGCACCGCTGGGCAGCATGCATGGCCAGATGGAAGGCAGGGGCAGCCCTTCCCCATGATGACAGTCTTAGCCCTCCGCACCTGCTGCCCTCCGCGGTCCCTAGTGGTGGGCACAGTATCCCGGAGGGCCCGTGTCTGTCCTCTACCCTGGAGCCAGCGCTCTCTGTACAGCTCTCAGTCACACTGGGTTATGGCTGGCACCTTCATTATGATTGCTTTATTAAATAAGCACTGTGGCCTGATCGGCTCATCGACAGAGCCACAGGTTACAAAAACGAGTTTTGGGGAAGTATGGTCACTTTCCAGATTGCTGACCAGGCTTCAAATCCAGGTCTTCTGACCCCAGCACTGTGCCCTGTTCAGAGCCGCCCAGCTCAGCCACAAGGCATCCTCTGACCCACAGTCATCCCCCTTAACAGCCCCAGGCAGCTCACTCCAGCTGCTCCTGGCCCCGCACTCCTGCCCAGCCCCCAGCCAGCCACTCCCACCACCCCGCCCTGCCCTTTGCATCTGACTCTGTTTCTCTCATCCTTTCCCAGGTGTTGAAGTTCCTGTCTGCTGCCGCCCAGGCCCAGTCCTGCTGGCGACAGCGGGATATTTGACCTTGTGCTCACCGGTGTTGCTAGTCCTGTATGTTCGCCCCCATCACACTGAGGTCCTGCAGGGTTGGCATGGGCAGAGGACAGACCTGCCTGTAGCCCAGCCAGCTTCCCGGGCCCTGGGCGCTCAGCACTGCTGTCTGCCTGTCTCCCTGGCACAGGGACACCCCAGCTCAGGGTAGCTTCTCTGGGTGCCCAGACTATACCCGCGACTGGTGTTCTCATCTGGCTGATGGCTTTTGGCCTCTCTCTCTCTTTTGTCCCAAGTGCCTGGGGGCTGCTGCCCTTCTGTTCTCTGTCTACCTGTGGGAATGGGGCCTATTCTCAGGAGCCAGGCCAGCTCTCTGAGGCCCTGGACCACATGGCACTGTGCCCGGATATAGCTGTGCCCGCAGTAGCCCCACCTGCCCATGCAGTGGGCCATAGTCCATGACATCATGGTGGCCTGGCCAGTGGGCCCTGTGAGCGAGCCCCTAAGTTGCCATCCAGAACAGGGAGGGAGGGTGGGTTTCCCCGCTGTTACCAGTGCCCACACACCTGTTCTGAGGTTGGACGTGGTGTGAACGCTTCGTGTTGGTTGATTAAATGTACTACAGTTCTCGCTGTGCTGAGTCAGCTTCTATCCTTGATCTAGAGTTTAGTGGGAAGACGTGAAAATAGGTAGGCACTATATGAGATTTGAAAGGGAAAGAATACTCTGAAATTGAATGTATTTTTTACTTTGGAGGTGAAGCTGACATTTTTTTGTCCACATAACCCACTCTCAAAAGCCCAGAGTTCTTAGAAACATTATTTGCGAACCACCGGAGTAAATGACCTCAAAGTCTTTGTCAGCAACTCCTGGTATTCGAGCACCTGCTACACCTGTTCCTGTCTCCTCACCCTCCTGATCCCCTCCTGCCCTCAGCCCAGGCCAGCTCTGTCCCCTCCAAGCCTCGGTTGTCACCAGGCTACATCCCTGCATGGGCAGTTCCTGCTGCCACTGCTCTCCATCCCAGCAGAGTTCTCCCTGCCTGAAGCTGCACTGACCACTGAGATGCCAGCCCACCTCCCTTCCCCACTGCACATGACCTGAAGTCACAGTGTAGGCCACCCCTACCTGTCCCTCCTGCTTCATCCTTGAGGTCTGCTGTCTCCCCCAGTTTAAGCCTTCTAAGCAGGTAAGTGGAACCTCAGATGTTACTAAGGGATGCCTTCCAAGAAAGGAATCCATCTGCCTGGAATCCTGGTCTTTCCCCTTATGTGCAACTCGAGTATCAGCTCATTGCAGGGAGGTGGGAGCACCGATGCTGGGGTCTGCTCCGAGGACTCCACGGGATGGTATAGGGGATGCTTTACTGTCTAATGAGAGAACTGCTTGAGGAAAACTCAGTGGCTCCCATCCGATAGTCTCTGACTGGCTTCTCACCGGCATTAGACAGTTAAGACACACTAGGCACCACACGTGACAGGATTTGTGTCTTCTGTCATTTGAACTCCATTAACCCTTGCACAGAGCTCGGCAGCAAGAGTTGGGTCTGTGGGAGGAACGACTATCCAGATGGCTCTCCGCAGGGCAGAGCATAACAGCATCAGAGCAGGAGGAACGGCAGATTGGCTGGTCGCCTCATGTCAGGAAGGACAGCCCGAGGCCCAGGAAGTGGATAGTTCTTTGTGAGAGTTTTTCATGTGCCAGACAAGTGCCCACACCATGGACTACATGAGTGCTGTGGACACAGCGCAAAACAAGACCAAGGCCTTGCTCTCCTGTGGCTTTCATCCTGGAGAAAGATAAGAGGCTTGGGAAGTGCAAAATCCCAGAAAAAAATAGAACAGGGTGACGAGGTAAGGAGTTAAGTTGACAAGTGAAGGAATTCTTGTCTATGGCGGTGGTGTTTAAGACAGCCTTGAAAGTAAAGGGAGCTAGATTCATAGACCAGGAGAAAGGATTGGCAAGCGCTGTGCAGATTTAATTTGATGTGGGAATGAAAAGCATAGCAAAGGGTTTCTTCTCCCCGTGGCCCTCGTCTGTGAGCCATTAAGTGCAGGATGGAATCTCGTCTCCTACAAGAATGACTTCAGGGCTGTGGTTGGAGCAGCTGGGTGGGCAGGGGTCCTGTTTGTGGAGATGGGGTGTGCGGTTGCACAGGGGAATAGCCAGGAGTTCTGTTAGAGCCCCATGGCGGCTCCAGCTGGACGTGCTGGTAGGCTGCTCTTTGACTCTGGATCTGGGACTCAGGTCAGGACTGAAAACACTGGCTTAGGACTCTGCAAAATGTAAATGGTAATTAGAGCCATGGGGATCCAGCAGGTGGCATAGAGGTTAAGGCGCTGTGTCCTACATGGCCGACTGTGCAATTCACATCCCAGACCCAGTGGCCTGAAAATCATGCAAGGTGCATATGCGTATGTGCCTAAAATCCTGAGAGGAGAATGGAGAAAGGATTGTGGTGTGGCCATTCCCCCTGCTCCTCGAAGGAGGGGTTGATTTCTCACTTTCCTCCTCTATCTCTCTGCCTCTCTCTGGTGAACGTATCCACCCTATAACAAAACTAAAACAAAGAAAAAACTGGACCTAATTAAGGTCACTTATGGAGAGATAATGAGGTCTTGAAACCAAGAGAAGATCTTGCTTTAAGGACATGCAGGCCACGAGTGGCTTGGTGGTTAAAGTGGGTGAATCCCACATTGCTGGCTGCGAGGGTCAGTCCCAGACCCCCACGGCTTGGAAAACACTCCTGGTGTATGTGTATGCATGCCCAGAATCCCCAGAGGAAAACAAGAGAAAAGATTGATTAGCGCATGGCCATCTCCCATGGGGGAGGGAAAATAAGAAATCACCCTCCGGGGGATGGCCATACTGCAATCCCTTCTCCTCCATGCTCCTTTCAGGATTTTAGGGCATGCACGCACACTTGGTTTGATTTTTCAAACTGCAGGGTCTAGGACTCAAACTATGGTCGACCATGTAGGAGTCCAGCCCCTTAACCACTGTGCCTCCTGCTGGCCCCAAGAGATCCTCTTAAATTCATTTTATAAGTACTCACAGTGAGATTGCTGGATCCTGTAGTAGTTCTCTTTTTTAAAAAACAAATTATTATTTTATTTTATTATTATTTTTAAATTTTTATAGGGAGATAAGAGAGAGAGAGAGAAAGCAAGCTGCCAGGTCTGAGACTCGAACAATAGTTGGCCATGTGGGAGTCCAGAATCACAAGTATTGCATCACCTGTTGGCCCCAGTAATTCTATTTTTAATTCCTTGAGAAAACTCCATACTGTTTTGCATAATGGTTGCACCATTTCACTTTCAACCAACAGTGCACAATAGTTCCAATTTCTCCACATCCTCACCAGCATTTGTTATTTTTGTTTTTTTGATAATGGCCAGTCAAACAAGTGTTAAGTGATATTTCATTTTACTTACTTATTTTATTTATTTATTTTTTACAACTTGTATAATTTGTCTTTTGTTTTCTTGCCTGTGTGCCCTGGCTAGAACCTTTAGTACAGTGTTGAGTAGAAATGGTGAGAGAAGACAACCTTGTTTCATTCCTGATCTTAGGCGGAAGCTTTCGGTCTTTTACCATTAAGCATAATATTAGCTATGGCTTCTTCAAAAATATCCGTTATTCAATTGAAGAAGTTTTCTTTATTCCCAGTTTGTAGATATATATGTTTTTATTGCCAGAGGGCACTAGAGGGTATGTGTACTCACCAGAGAAAGACAGAAACAGAGAGAGGGACAGAGGCAATGTGCACCCCGATAGGGCGTGGTCACATCCTGTTGGGATTTGGGGCACACATGCACATATACCTGGCATGTTTTTCAAGCTGCCAGGTCTGGGATTTGAACTGTAGTCAGCCATGTGGTATTTGACTCTTTTAATGATTAAGTGATAGGGCTAGCCCTGTTTAAGTTTGTCATAAAGAAGTGTTAGATTTTGCCAAATGATTCTTCTCCATCTATTGAGATGATCGTGCGATTTTTGTTCTTTATTCTATTGTGTGGTGTATTACATTGATTGATTTTTTTTTTGTATGTCAAGCCACCTATCATACCTGGAATGAATACCGCTTGGTCATAACACACGATGTTTTTAAAAATTCCTGAACTTGGTTTGCTTATAGTATCTTATTAAGGATTTTTACATTTATATTCATAAGAGATTTGGGTCTGTAGTTTTCTTGTGATGTCTGTCTGATTTGGGTATCCTATATAGTTTTTTTAATACTATAAATTTTAATGTATATATTTCTTGTGTTGTTTTATATGCTATATAGATTCTGATATGTTATTTTTCATTACCATTATTTTTTTTTAATTAGGTTTTAATTCTATTTAGAAGAGTATTTTAAATTAAAAAAAAAGTTGTGGATTGAATTATTTTCAAGTCTTTAAGAAACTGTTTTCACA